GAGGACTTCACACCAACAGATAACACAGTGGGAGTCACGAGTCTTTTTATTTCAAAATCAAAAAGCGCGGTGCGCGAGAGTACAGCGGGAAGAGTCAGTTTACAAAATAGTCTTATGAGTCATCCTGTAAGCTTAGTGTACATAGGGCTTGCTCTTCTTCCTGTAAAGAGTTTATGTTTGGTCGCCCTGCAATAGAAAGTAAACAGAATGCATTAGTATATCATACATAGCAATTTCGACTCCGTTACACCGCCCCCTCTCTTAAATAGGCACTGTCCTCAGTGCCTGGTCTAAGACATGGATATGCTGTTCCCCCTTCTGATGGTACTTCATAAAACGTAGTGGCAGGTGGTGGATTGGCGAACTGGGCATCCGAGGAAGCTGTCATCCTATCTGGTTTTGTTTGGTTATGGAGTACAGTTATCACGTCATCCTGGGGTCGTTGCAAGTTACGTAATACGAACGTAGTGGGGGATCGGATGAGGACGATTTCAAAGGGGCCTTGCCATGGCTGGTGGAACTTACTGCAACTCCTTGAAGATGTCATGGGACGACGTAGCCAAACGCGATCACCGACCTTATACACTGGTCCGTGCACCTGACGATCGTACAAATCCTTTTGATGTTCACTAGCTTTGTGCAAATTGCTGTTGACCAGGCGGTATGCATCAGGTAAGCGGTTACGGAGAGTACGCATGTATGGTACATGCTCCTGTTCTTCGCAGGGCAGCAGGGGCGTCTGTATCTCCACTGGTAGGCGTAATTCATGCCCGAATAATAAGATAGCGGGTGAAAACCCGGTGGAGCCATGTACCGATGATCGATATGCTAAAAGACACTGAGGAAGGACTTCATCCCATAACTCCTGAGACGATCTGCTCACAAACGCTTGCAATATGGCTTTAATACTTCTGTTTGTTCTTTCTACCAGCCCGTTACCTTTTGGGTGATAAGCATTGGTTCGTGTCTTCCTGATTCCCAAAAGCTGGCATATCTCGGCGATGAGGTGACTTTCAAAGGCTGGACCTTGATCAGAATCAAGTGAGAAGGGGGCGCCATAGCGGGAAACCCAATGATCGATGAAAGCTCGAGCAACCGTAAGAGCGTCTTGCTGGGGAAGGGGTATTGCTTCGCACCATTTAGTAAAGTAATCTACCATAACCAGTATGAAGCGATTCCCTTTCTTTGTTGTTGTTAATGGTCCCATGATATCTATGCCGATCCGCTGGTGTGGTCCTGTGGTCACCATCGGGGTTAACGGTGCACGAGGTGTCTGTCGAGGCGATTTGAAACGGCAGCACGTGTTACAATTTTTGCAAATTTGCACTACATCTTTATGCATGGATGGCCACCAAAAGCGCTGGCGGACCGCGTATTCCGTCCTTCGTTCTCCTGACTGACCTAGTTCGCTGTGCACCTGCACCTGCACCTCCACAATGCTCTCAACTTTTATCCGTGGTACTACACATAGAGGTTGTCTCGCTTCGTTAATTAAGAATAACGTGTCGCCATATAATTTTAGATTACTCCATTTAGTGCAAATACGACAAGTTGTTAATGATTGATCCTTTAACTCTTTCATGGATGGTTTATTGTTTCCCTGCAAGTGTCATTGATATATAATCTGCATGTCTGGGTCTGCTGCTTGCAGGGAAGGCCAATCAATCTCTAGGGCTGTGCTAAGAACTGCATTAACAGTACCTGCGGTTTGACGTATGCGGGAAAGAGCCTCTGCGTTTGTATGCCGGCTTCCAGGTCGGTACTCGCATGTGAAATCGAACTCTTGTAGTCGTTCTTGCCAGCGTGCCACTTGCCCCTCTGGCTCGCGGAAGGAGCGGAGCCATTGTAATGCACGGTGATCTGTGCGTACACGGAAAGCTTTACCTAGTAAGTAATGGCGGAAGTGTTGTAAGAATTTTACTAATGCTAACATCTCTCGACGCGTTGTCGAATATCTTGTTTCACTCTTATCAGTCGACGGCTAGCGTACGCAATGACTCTTTCTTGCCCATCTGGGGCCACTTGTGATAGAACTGCTCCAATAGCGGAGGAACTGGCATCCGTATCAAGTATAAATTCTCCTCCGCTTGCTGAGGTATCCGGAACGGCTAATATGGGTGGAGAGCTTAGTCGTGTCTTCAAAGCATCGAACGCCTGTTGGCACTCTGCAGTCCATAAAAAGTTTCGTCCTTTGTGCGTCAAACGGTATAAGGGTGCTGCTAACGATGCAAAGTCACGGACAAAGCGTCTGTAGTAAGAAGCTAGGCCAAGAAAGCTACGAACGTCTTCAGGTGATTTGGGCTGTGGCCAATTAACAATGACACGTGTCTTTTCTTTATCGATGCCTACTCCATCTGCAGTGATACGATGTCCTGAGAAAACTACTTCTTTCTGCAGCAGGCGACATTTGTACGGTTTTACTTTTAAGTTGTGTTATTGAAGACGATGGAGAACTGCTTTCAGATTAGCATTATGTTGCTCGGGTGTGCTACCATACACAATAATGTCATCAAGATAAATCAAACATTTATGAGGTACTATATCTTGTAAAACTGTTTGCACTAATCTTTGGAAAGTAGCTGGGGCATTCGTTAGACCGAAAGGCATTACTTGGAATTCGTATAAACCGTTTGGCACTACAAATGCGGTTTTCTTTCTATCTTGCGGTCTGACTTCCACCTGCCAGTACCCTGATGCTAGGTCTAACGTTGAAAACCAACATGCGCCACTCAAAGCGTCTAATATAGCATCGATTCTCGGAAGAGGAAAAGAGTCACGCTTAGTTATAGCGTTAAGGCGTCGATAGTCTATGCAGAGTCGCAGAGAGGAATCTTTCTTTTTAACCAGGACGATAGGTGATGCCCAGGGGGATGATGACGTTACTATAATATTCTTGTCAAGCATATCCTTTATCATCTTATCCCGCTGTGGTTGATAGTGCACAGGCACTCTACGAGGCGGTTGCCTAAGTGGCCTGTGGTCCCCAGTGCAAATGGTGTGCTGCACCGTACTCTTGCGATTGCCAGAAATACCCTCTTCGAAAATCGAACTAAACTGTTGAAGCACGGCAATCGTTGCATCGCGGTCTTTCTCTGTTATTATTCGGTTGCCCTGTACTTGCCGCACTAGGTCTGAGATCCCCACATACAACACAGCTTTCAATGACGTGTCAGCATGGTGCAAGCGTATTCTAGTATCCCCAAACTTTGCTTCTAATCTGTCCATGAATATACACGCTTGATGTTCTAACATGAAATCAACTCCGAGTATCATGTCCTAAGTCAATGCTGGACAAACTAAAAATCCGTGCCGGAACGGATGTTTTTCTATCATTAGATCCAACCATACTTTAGAGTTTACTTTTAGTGGGTCCCCGCTTGCCGTGAGTAGTGTAGATGGGCATCGCGTTTGTTGGACCTTGTGCTTAAGTCTTCTTAAAAGCTCGTCCTTAATTAGGGATGCCGAAGCTCCGGTGTCTAACAAAATTTCGATATCGACACCTTGCACTCTACCCTTAATCGTAATGGGCGCATGTGATTAACATAAGAAGACAAATGGAAAAAATACGGCTTACTTGGATTACCAGAGCGGTTATGACCACATTTCCTTGCATTTTTGCCAAATCGTCGGCAGTATGGACATTCGGCTTGGCTACCGTGATAACTGTTCGTTGATCACCATTTCTTCTCGGCTGGACTTGATTGTTGTCGACGGTTGCTCCAGCTGGCAAATTGGGTAACGTCTGTAACGTTCTGAGAGTTCTTCTGGAGGCTAGTTTTGGAGGGTTGTGTCACTGCCATCACTGTTGGTTGGTGCATGTCTGATGGGCTTTTCAGCTGCTCAGCTGCCATGAACCGGAATGTAGTTCTTTTTAAGGCAGTTATATCTGTTGGAGGGTTTAGGAGAAAGTGTTCCTTCAAAGAACTGGATCTTAACCCTTCCACGAACCGAGACTTAATCAATTCATCTCGTCCAGTGGCATCAAGACAAGGGAACGCCTGCACAGCCATTTGTTGCAAAGAATTAAAATAATCTATTGGATTCTCGCCGGGTGTTTCATGTCGTGACAAAAATCGGACGGCTGCTTGTTGGGGATCCACCGGCATCGAAAAACAATAGTCGAGGATCTTCCAGTTCTGAGCGAGAGTGTTGTCTGCCGCAAACCCGTTGACCATAGCTTTCTTGGTAGCTTCGTCGCTGAGGTAGGATACGAGATGATCGAAATGTTCCGAGGCAGGAACTTTACGAAGACATGCTGTGACTTTGAACTTCCACACTGTATAGTCTGACGAGTTTTCCAGGAGTGGCGGTTGACGGGGAGCTGAGCCAGTTGCTAGCTTGACTGGAATCACCGGCGGTTCGTTCAGGTTTTCATCGCATTTTTTAGTGAACACCTCCATCACCAGTTGTAACAAGTGGAATCAGCAGTTAGAAAACAGCAGTACAGATCTGAAAAACAGCTCAGCACACAATGTTAAACGAGGACTTCACACCAACAGATAACACAGTGGGAGTCACGAGTCTTTTTATTTCAAAATCAAAAAGCGCGGTGCGCGAGAGTACAGCGGGAAGAGTCAGTTTACAAAATAGTCTTATGAGTCATCCTGTAAGCTTAGTGTACATAGGGCTTGCTCTTCTTCCTGTAAAGAGTTTATGTTTGGTCTCCCTACAATAGAAGGAAAATAGAATGCATCAGTATATCATACATAGCAATTTCGACTCCGTTACAATGGTGTGTGATTAACTGATGCGCGTTGACTGTCCTTGATCTTGACGGGGATCGATAGTCTGTTCGATATTCAGTGACCCAACTGCCGGATGATCTGGCTACCCCTCGGTGACATTTCACTGGCCCTACAATATTATCTAAATAAAAAATTCGTGGATATCAAGTTCACGTATCCGCATGTTTCCTTCAGCATTTTGAATTCCATTCATAGTAAGCAAATTTGTTTTAAACATTCAAACCCAAGAAACGGTGCCTCCGTGGACGTATAAAAATGAGTTCAATAACGATGCGGCGTTGCGGGATAAGTATCAATTCAGAGTCTCTGGTACTGATCTATGAAAGAGGCCTTAAAACGAGAAAAAGAAGAATTAGACTTTCTGTGCTTCAAAATTCATCAGTCATTGAAACATATAAGGCGTTGCGAGCGGACGAGCGTCATAAACATTTCATAGATCTTATTCCTAAGACACAGCTTTTAAGATTACTGACTATTTTCAAAGATTTGTGCAACGGGATGAATATTTCAGATTCTCTAAACAGAAGGAAAGAGGTGGACACTAACAATGTTGATCATAGTGACTTAGAAGGGTTTGTTTAAAATATTTTCCAGATATTTTACGACACTTACCTGGTCTTGTTGAAAACACTTTTGATTGCTAGTCCACGATATTTGAAGTATACAACATTCACATCAAGCATTTTCATAAAACCTAAATGCGATGGACAGTCCCTGTTAACCAATGGCTGTTAAACTCTTCTCATTTTTCTGATCCATATGATTTTGTAACACAATTGATGAGTTATTCAGTTGCCTAGCCCTACAGGTGATATACTGTCAAAAGAATTTTTTATTAAATTTCCCATAATTCCTGATACTTTGAATGTGGTACATGGGTATGTACCTGAAAAGCATGCATCAAATAATAAAGACACTCACAGATCTGAGAGAAAAGAGGTATAGATAAGACAGAACAATTAGCAGACAATCTGAAACAATACTATTTCTTAATAAGAGCTTATAACCATAACGTTTTTTTCACTGACACATGATTCACACCAGTTTTAACAACGAACGTGTAGTAATCTGTTTATAAACAAGTCCTTTAAACATACTTCTTCGGTAAATAAGTTGTGTATGCATCTTTCTGTTAACCAATTAAATGATAAACGTACAATAATTTAAGTTAAAAATGGACTACTTGATAAGTTAACCTAAAAGACATAAGTGTGGCAAACACTAAAGCATATCCTTATTGTAAGCAAGAAACATTGAACTATTTCGTAGCAAAAGTGTTGACCATACCTATGCTGCGTCAGCAGCATTTTCGACTGTTTCAATAGCTTTCATGAACAAACAATTGTCAAATATCTCAAACATAACTTTGATTTGCTTTGTGACTGTTATCCCTTACAGATATAACTGTCTATTTTATCAACCTTATAAATCAAAAGTAAGCTTTCTGCTTCCGAAGATGATAGATATAAAGCCTTACTTGTATTTCAGTAGAATTTGTTGCGTCACCAAGTTAAGTGCTTCTGGTGTTAACCGTTATCGTTAGCAAAACAGAAGACTGACTTCGCTTAGTAACCTCTAATCTATGTTTTGATATGATGTCGAAGTTTATTCTTCATTTAAAATCTGTCTCTCTATTTCCTAATGACTTATTTAGGACTATCGGTTACACTATCAGTTTAAGATAAAACTTCAGTTTGAGTGACCTGATGTACTCTTTTTTAAATCTTGCAAGATTGATACTAGTGTACATCTATTTTACATGCTATTACGGCAGCTCGAGTTTGAAAAGTGTGTTTATTGATGTTAAACGTCCTGCACTGTTTAGGCCTGCACAAATTCAAAATCATTTTAAAGGTCTTTTAGGACTGTTACATTTCTAGACGAAACATTTATAGTCATTACTTTTTAGTTAAGGTTTTGATAATTTTGTAAATTATGCAAGCCTACTACTGTATGTTTGACGTTTCAATGGTCAACACAGCAGCTTAGAAACATATAAATTTTGTGATTTCAGATGTGCCTTTTCATTTTGTGTGCTACATACCATAAAATCAGCAGTTAATTCAACAACCTGCTACCCGTGTACTAAACTGTTGGCGGTGTACACTGTTTATGTAAATTACAATTAATAAATTTGGTTTGATGCCAAACAGTGCACATTTCCTGTGGACTTGTAACTTTAAAATAGAATAAACGGCCGATTCAGGACTCTATCAACTGCAAAATTGAAGAATCGAACAAAATCTCCTATATTGTTAATGTCTGAATTTTATTTTCTAATATGTGGAGTGTCCAATTTCTCCCCTAAACTTCTAGGTTCATTTAAAGTGATGATTCGGAATTTCCATAATTGTTGCTACCATACATTAGAGTTTCGTGGTTGCGATTATTTATCAAGCAATAAAAGTATAAAGAAGTTTGCTTCCACTCTCCTATATGATGATCATGGTGTGGTGTGGGTTACTTATATCCACATAAGTAGTACATAACGATGATCAGACATAGAATGTATTTCAGTAGAAGATCGATAAGGAAAAAGCGGGAATAATACCCATTTCGTATAAAAATGCATGAACAATGAAATCTGAGACAATGGACTGATAGTTGCTAAAGAAATAGTCAAGTTTCAGACGATGAATTGTTATTATGCAAATTAAATATTTACTATACGGTTCTCGGATTTTAGTGAGATATTCTGTAATTTCTGTTGTTCCCACCCGTGGTCTTATTAATTACAGTGGTATTTCGATGGATACGACAGAAGAAAACACAAACCTAGTGAACAACTGTATCACTTATAAATTTTACCGACCACCTTTTCCTGTTTTTTTATAACTAAAACGTTCTTCAACCCTTCTTCTGCATCATAATTATACCGTCTATTAAAAAGACGGTGGTTAAGTATAGGTAATATATGTCCCAACAGCTCCAGTTGGCGAAGATTTACCACCTTATCAACTGATTTGCCGTCTTTACGTAGTACTCTATTCCTCATCCAGGAAGTTTTTACTGTGTGGTCCCAAAATACATGAGCGATGCCTCGTAGACACCTATGATGGAAAATCAGTGACCTATGAATGTCCTTTACTCATAATGGCCATATTTCATATCCATAAATTTTGACGACTGAAACTGTGAGATGTTTAAAATAACTGTCCACTGATTTAGTAGTAACGTCCAAAACTAACAATTTGCTTTAGATTAATTTAGTCAGCCATAAATTATTACTTTACTGCCTTAATTGAAATCTCATCTTTAGGTTCTGCAATATTTATTCTCTACTTTTCTCTCTAGAAAGAAAACTGCTATGAATAATTTTTCCGAACGAAATGAAATGCTGTCGACAAAACAAGATTTTACTTCTGATGAAGAAATGGACATTCCTGAGGAACAAATTGAAACTTATTCATGGGATTCTGATGAATGCAAATTTTAAAAGCTATTAGTTTTAGATGGTTGTGTTTAGTGAAAATAACTGTATATAAGTAATGTTGTTTATGACTCAAAAAAACGTGAAAAATGTTTAATTGTCTAGATTCAGTATTGTACTTCTGAATACATGAACTGGATGTACGATGACATTCAAATGGTTTTTATATGGTGCACTTAAGCTTTATTCATAAGATAATTTTGATTAAAAATATCCAAGAAAATTTACGACAGAAATGGTCAGATAAAGAAAACAAAATACTCATCAGTAATATATTAAATTTATTGATCATTCGCCGATTATTAATTTGAATCCACCATTACTTGTTATTGTATACTGTTTAGAATGTTTTGCATTAATTTCCTTAGAACTCATTATTGTTAATACTACTTCAATGTAAATTCATGATTTTCAATTGATTTTTTGCCTTATTAAATAATTCTGTATGAATGTATTTTTCTGGTAACAAATACAAAGTACTATAAAATAACAAGCGAATAAAAGAGTTAATTGTATATCCTTATCTTTGGTCTCTTTGACTAAAGTGGCTGATGAAAAGCTGTAATCTGACGACCAATAATTCGATTTCATCCAAAGCTAGTTGACCAAATGCAGTTGTATCCTAAATTGTTAATACAACTGAGTAACCAATAATTTGTTCATGTTAACGGGTTTGGAGCATACATTTAGTATGAGAGCTAGTAATATTACTCGGTTACTTAGATCGAAATATTTGGATCGGCACTCAAATTCATAAACAATTAATTGATAGTTGAGTGCTTTCACTATTAAATCACATGTATTTCAATAAACATTCAGTATTTACCCCACAGCTAACTCCTATTTTTGGAACGTATGTCAACACAGGAAGAAGATAATGCTTTTCTTTGTACATACAGACACAATATATAAGTTTGTTCAAAAAAAGTTTCCATTCCTCAGATTTTCTCTTCTCACAGAAGTAGAATTATTATTATCCTGACAAGTGTTCAGATATTAGGTTCTATCGTATGCGTAACTTATAAGATTCTTTATTCTAATGATGTAGGTTTGTCATATTTCAAGTAAATTTATATTAGAAGGGGATTTGTGGAGATTTCAGTATATTTAAAAGTTGAAATCATAAGTCAATTGAAGCTAGACCACCATCGAAAACCTGGAAGCACTGGACGGCCGTTTCGTCCTACTATGGGACTCCTCAGCAGTGCGCATCCACGAACCCGCTCTGGCGAGCGAGATTCGAACCCAGGACCTACCAGTTACGAGCCAGAGCCCTTAACCGATAGACCACTGAGCTGGCATCCAACGGTGTTAATGTCTAACTTCTAAAAAAACATACTTAGGAGACCATGTATGGAATTAAGAAGTTTTGAAATCTCTGCTAGTTAATAAATCCTGTACATAATCATTCGTATTGTATTTCAACTTTGAAAGCAAGGTACTTGCTGTGTAGGCTGGAAACTAAGTTTTGCCAAATTTTAAAGAGAGGTTGATAGCAGTTATAAAACGAAACTACCGATTTCTGTTCACTTCGAGCAATAACGTTCTATAAAAGTTTCTAGAGTATTTGTTATGAGGATTTCAACCTTCACCAAGCGTTAACAAAAGTTTTGCCTATTGATCTGTTTCCAAGACGCTCATACTTTATTTCTTTTGCTATTTGTACGTTGCGAAAAAATAGCTTGGCTACTTTTAGGGCAGCTGTGTGTTTTTGTTTGATCAGTGTGAAGCATTTTTCCAATATCATCAGTGTCGAATGTTGAGTTGCACAATGACCAATAACAGCTAATTTCTCATGAAAGTCATTGATGAACGGTTAAATATACCCCAACTAACTAGTCGAGAGTAATTTTACCAATGTGTTTTGGTATTTATGGTCGAATTTATGGCGCCGCTTTTTGTTAACTCTACATGAAAAAGTTTCACATAACACAATCCTGCCCCATATATTACTTCTTTAAACAAAGTAGGACAGCTCACTGTGGTCATAGTGATCTCATATAACTATTGAGCATGAATGTATGATTACAAGTCAAGCGATTAACATATTCATAGATCAAACATATCTCACCGGATACGTTTGCATGTATTATGATCAAAACTTATTTTACGCATTTGAGTTCTAAATGTTCAAATACCTTTATGTATGATCCTCATTTCACCCCCCTTCTATCTACTTCTTGTCCTATTTGTCTTGCTAAACATTTGACCCTTTTACAGTGCACACATCAGTACATGAATGAAGTTTTATTTGCATTATACTAAAATGATCAATATAATATGCTGCATTATAAAGAATTTTCAGGAGTAGACGTTTAAACTCCAATTGTAGTCAAAATGAACTCTTGAAAGTGAATGGCCACAGATTATCCAGTTAGTAACTCCGAATGCTATTTATCATTATCAATTCTGAGTCTCTTTATTAAGACCTGAAACTTGAATCTAATTTAATATCATTAATAGGTTGAATTTGAATGGACAATTTAACTTATATTAATGAAGATATTTTTCAATGTTAATCCTACTTTATTGGACAAAAAGTGCAGTGTGTGTAGTTTTAGTCGTTTAACACTGAAGAACTAAGTGTTTTCATATCTCTATGTATAAAGACTTAGACGTTTGTTTATTTTTTGTTGGCTGCCATCGGTCGGTGTATTTAGGATCTGGAGAAACTTATTCTTATTTGTGTCCTTCAAAACCAGTCTATAAATATAACCCGCAAATTTCACCAAAGGGCAGAAATCAACCCAAAAAATTTACCTACAACTGAAAACAGCAATTCATTATTGTATCGGGTGTATGAATCTTTCGACTGACGTTTAGAACTGCAATTGATAAGTCTCTTATTGGAATATGTCCATCACGTGCGGATTGCACAGATATTACCTTAAGGCACAAGCGATATAAGCAGAGATGGATGGTACTAGCCACCTTCCACCACCAAAACATGTGTATGGGAATTTGTGGAGACAGTAGTAATTTAAAGGTTGAATTAACGAGCCTATCTAAGCTAGAGAACCATTTAAAACCTGGAAGCCCTGAACGTGGGTGCGCAATGCTGAGGAGTTCCATACTAGAAAGAAACGGTCGTCCAGTGCCTCCGGATTTCTAGCTTATATCTACTCCTGAACAAAAAATGAATTAAACTTCACCACATTGCACAAGCTGTTGGCTATCAGGATTCAGAAGCTAACCGGATAACGTGATGGCGTTTAAAGCGAACGGTACTGAGTCCAAGTTGTAGAGTTAATATCGATTCGGAGATGCAGGTACAAACATCTAACGAGGCCTAAATAGGACGAAAAGTGATTCCTGGATTCCATTGCTAGCTAATACCCACCTCTGCTTAGGAAGATAGCAATGTTATTACGAATGCAGATAAAATATGACCGCTTGAGGTCACAGCTTTATCTTTTAACGCTCAGATTTTCAATTGCACTTTTGAAAAAAACATGTTTAAAAAGAAGATGAAATATTATTCAAACGAAATTTACTAATATGCTCATTGAAAGTTTCAGTAGTTCGTTGATTGAACGTTAAAATAAATTGAATTTTTTATTCTTGAGCCGTAAATAGCGTTTTTAAACTAAATTCTAATTTTCAAAAAAAGTTGTTTAAATGTTCACTCAGCATTTTAGGTTAACGAAATCTAATCTCCGTATCACAATCCTAATATCAAACTAACATCCTCTCTGTGACATTTATTAGGCGTCGTCAGACTGTACTACTTATGAGTAACTAAAACATAATTAAACATGTTTATTAACTTGTACCCTGTCGGTTGGTACACGTTTCCCTGCTTCTTAAATAATGAGTGGTCGTAGTAGAGGTGCTAAGGTTCGAAGCAAGGCAAAGACAAGGTCAGCACGCACCGGTTTTCAGTTCCTCGTTGATCGTGTACATCGCCTTCTATGTAAGGAGAATTACGCTGAACGTGTTGATGCTGGTGCTCCAGTTTATCTGGCTGCAGTTCTCGAATACCTTGCTGCAGAAGTTTTGGAATTAGCTGGTAATGCCGCTCAAAACCACAAGAAGACTCGTATCACCCCGAGACACCCTATCGGTTGATCAAAACCTTGTTTTCATATTACTGGTCAACGTAATGAATATTCATCCAAACATTTCTTTATTCTTGATTATATTCAGAAGTAAGCGCTCGATACTAATTTCAAACACTTAAAACTGGAGATTGTAGCTTGAAGTTACTTTTTTAAAATACTTGAAACGATATATAGACAAAACAGATCATCATAATTAAAGACTTTTATTATACAAAATAATGAAATCAATAATACTGTGACTAAAGTAATGATAAAAGAAAATAACGATGGGAAAAAATAAAACAAATAATAGGATGGTAATAAATATTATTAAAAAAAGAATTCTCTTGTAGACTTTGCACAAATATGAGTTCGATCAGCAGCTTGTATTATCCACACATTGATAATTTGATCTTGTCAGATAAACAATCTCTTTTCTTTTATTGAAAACAAACTTCAGTTTATTATAATTCATTTACTATTTTTGCACGTGCATTAAAACTTAGAAAATCTTTTTGTTGATTTCGTCGACGTCCTCCATTTACTGTGGATTTATTACTAATTAAATCTAAATTAATATCATTTAAAATTGATTGATGTTTATTATTCCGTGGAATAGATTTCTGAGATTCAATAGAAATAAAACTATTTTCAGTGGATAAAGCACCATTTATCTTATCATTTTTTGATTTATTACTATATGCTGGTGAACTATTACGAATACTTGTCACTGAATTATTGTTTTGTGATAATGAAACCATAGATGATGGATAACTAGATGATTGAATAGTCATTTCGTCAATTGTTTCAAGTTTGATTTTCTCTGATTCACTTGATAATAAACCATCATCTGAAATCTAAATCACAAAAAATGTGTTGTGATTTGTTGTATTTGAAAGTATTATTACAAATATTAACTTAAAATTCATTTCTATCATGAACTACCATCAGTTTGAGAACTAAATAAAAGTAATAAGAACCAAACAATTTTTTCTATTCTTGTTTGACATTATTCAACACAAAGTACTTCTGAACTTACATTTGATCGAATCCAAGACTACTGTTGTAATTGTTTATAAAGCAATTTCAATACAATAACCTAGAAGAATGATGCTCATCAAGAGACCTAAAGGGCTCAATTTGATTAAATATTCGATTGTATGTATTTACTAGTGAAACGTTTCTACTTGAAACAAAACAACAGTTCAGTAACCTTTGATTATCAATTTTTCTTTAAGTGACATCATGATTTAGTGGAACAAACTTTACACTTTTATAAAGTCTACACAAAACCAACTGACAAAGCGATAAAAATCCTGTTTCAACTATTTAGGTCGAGTTCATTTAATGATACAGATGTTATCTAATTAACCAACTAAAGTTTTTTTTCAATTATTTTAATTAAAACTTGTGGAAAAAAATTTCAACATCATAATAAAACTACAATAAAACTGAATAATTTATCCAGAAGGAGATTTGTGGAGATTTCAATATTTTTCAAAGCTGAAATCATGAGTCAATTGAAGCTAGACCACCATCGTAAACCCCTTCTGACTATAATCATATGCTCACTAGTGACTGACTTCAAGATACATGTCCTGGAGTTCTAGTGGGAAGCAGTGACCAGTGGAGTTCAACCACGTCTGTTGTGAGATAACAACTCACTGAAGACAATTGGTGAATGGTCGCTCATAATTCGTGGATCGGTTGAAGTTAGACATTAACACCGTTGAATGCCGGCTCAGTGGTCTATCGGTTAAGGGCTCTGGCCCGAGACTGATAGGTACTGGGTTCGAATCTCGCGAGTGCGGGATCGTGGATGCGCACTGCTGCGGAGTCCCATAATAGGATGAAACGGCCGTCCAGTGCTTCCAGGTTTTCGATGGTGGTCTAGCTTTAATTGACTCATGATTTCAACTTTGAAGAATAATTTATTATTTCTATGGTGACATAATCAATTAGTTTGAATGAAACATCAACAACAAGTAGATTATACGCAAATCTTTCAAATAGATAATGATTATTAAAATAATCAATTTATTTAGTTTAAATAATCAATAAAATGTAGATAATAAATCAATATAAATAAATCATGTTAATGAGTTTCAGTTGTAACTCAATGCATACATAACAAATTCATGAATTGAAATAGTCATACAGAAAAGAAAAAAAACAGTCATTATTACTAATTACATATTAGATTAATTAAAACTGCTATCAGAAACCAGGTCGAAAGTGACAATCACATATATGTTTACTTAAAGTTTATTGAAAAAACGTTTGTATACTATAATATCACTATACAGTGAATGAATAAATACAATGAAAACAGCAGTTGTATTTATATTTCGGCCTAAACGACACATAAATAATAAATACTATGAATGTAAATTTCGTCCCCCAACTTTTATTTATCCAGTAAAATATTATAGCAGAGTATAACGAATATTGTTTATTGTTCATTTATAGCAAGACCATAAACTAACCAATCCTGAGCATAGATTGACTAACGAAACTGTTAATCTTCATAAATTGAGACAATTTAGCCATGCTGTTCACCTAGAGAAAAATCACCAACTCCAATGAATGGTATTGATGGTCAATATAATAAAGTAATTAAAACATCATTTAAACTGAACTGTTGTATTGGATCAATGGAATATTTATTTATTTACTAATTTATTTAAACACATAAATATTGGTACAAAGGGGCACCAGATATATATGCAACACACAAATCTCATTTGATATATGTGAGGGCTATCATACTGAACGATTGCTCAGACTGAAGCAGGTGGTTTACTCAGGAGGCCACACCATCATCAAAAAAATGATATTCAGTGAAAATTTCGCTATCATCGTCAAAGTCAACTTCGAGGTCAGAATCAACTGAATCACACCACCATGCTTTTCGTCGTCTTCTCCACACACATCGTCTTCGTGACTATTCCTACAATCATCTCCATCATCGAAATCATGATATTCAGCGAGCAATCCCCCTCTTCGTCAAGGTCATCTTCAAGGTCATTGTGAAGAGTGTCACACCATCACGCTCTTTGTCGTCTTCTCCACTCACATCGTCTTCGTGACCATTCCTATAAACATCTCTTTCATCAAAATCATGATATTCAGCAAGAAATCCGCCCTCTTCGTCAAGCTCATCTTCAAGGTCATTGTGAAGAGGATCACACCATCACGCTCTTCGTCGTCTTCTCCACTCACATCGTCATCGTCACCATTCCTATAAACATCTATTTCATCGAAATCATGATATTCAGCGAGCAATCCCCCTCTTCGTCAAGGTCATCTTCAAGCTCAGCATCAACTGAATCACACCACCATGCTTTTCGTCGTCTTCTCCACTCACATCGTCATCGTGACCATTCCTATAAACATCTATTTCATCGAAATCATGATATTCAGCGAGCAATCCCCCTCTTCGTCAAGGTCATCTTCAAGCTCAGCATCAACTGAATCACACCACCATGCTTTTCGTCGTCTTCTCCACTCACATCGTCATCGTGACCATTCCTATAAACATCTATTTCATCGAAATCATGATATTCAGCGAGCAATCCCCCTCTTCGTCAAGGTCATCTTCAAGCTCAGCATCAACTGAATCACACCACCATGCTTTTCGTCGTCTTCTCCACTCACATCGTCATCGTGACCATTCCTATAAACAACTATTTCATCGAAATCATGATATTCAACGAGCAATCCCCCTCTTCATCAAGCTCATCTTCAAGGTCATTGTGAAGAGGATCACACCATCACGCTCTTCGTCGTCTTCTCCACTCACATCGTCATCGTCACCATTCCTACAATCATCTCCATCATCAAAATCATGATATTCAGCGAGAAATCCGCCCTCTTCGTCAAAGTCATCTTCAAGGTCAGCATCAACTGAATCACACCACCATGCTTTTCGTCGTCTTCTCCACTCACATCGTCATCGTGACTATTCCTACAATCATCTCCATCATCGAAATCATGATATTCAGCGAGCAATCCCCCTCTTCGTCAAGGTCATCTTCAAGCTCAGCATCAACTGAATCACACCACCATGCTTTTCGTCGTCTTCTCCACTCACATCGTCTTCGTGACTATTCCTACAATCATCTCCATCATCGAAATCATGATATTCAACGAGAAATCCGCCCTCTTCGTCAAGGTCATCTTCAAGGTCATTGTGGAGAGGAGCACACCACCGCGCTCTTCGTCGTCTTCTCCACTCACATCGTCATCGTCACCATTCCTACAATCATCACCATCATCAAAATCATGATATTCAGCGAGAAATCCGCCCTCTTCGTCAAGGTCATCTTCAAGGTCAGCATCAACTGAATCACACCACCGCGCTCTTCGTCGTCTTCTCCACTCACATCGTCATCGTCACCATTCCTACAATCATCTCCATCATCAAAATCATGATATTCAGCGAGCAATCCCCCTCTTCGTCAAGGTCATCTTCAAGCTCAGCATCAACTGAATCACACCACCATGCTTTTCGTCGTCTTCTCCACTCACATCGTCATCGTGACCATTCCTATAAACAACTATTTCATCGAAATCATGATATTCAACGAGCAATCCCCCTCTTCATCAAGCTCATCTTCAAGGTCATTGTGAAGAGGATCACACCATCACGCTCTTCGTCGTCTTCTCCACTCACATCGTCATCGTCACCATTCCTACAATCATCTCCATCATCAAAATCATGATATTCAGCGAGAAATCCCCCTCTTCGTCAAGGTCATCTTCAAGCTCAGCATCAACTGAATCACACCACCATGCTTTTCGTCGTCTTCTCCACTCACATCGTGACCATTCCTATAAACATCTATTTCATCGAAATCATGATATTCAGCGAGCAATCCCCCTCTTCGTCAAGGTCATCTTCAAGGTCAGCATCAACTGAATCACACCACCATGCTTTTCGTCGTCTTCTCCACTCACATCGTCATCGTGACCATTCCTATAAACATCTATTTCATCGAAATCATGATATTCAACGAGCAATCCCCCTCTTCATCAAGCTCATCTTCAAGGTCATTGTGAAGAGGATCACACCATCACGCTCTTCGTCGTCTTCTCCACTCACATCGTCATCGTCACCATTCCTACAATCATCTCCATCATCAAAATCATGATATTCAGCGAGAAATCCGCCCTCTTCGTCAAGGTCATCTTCAAGGTCAGCATCAACTGAATCACACCACCATGCTTTTCGTCGTCTTCTCCACTCACATCGTCATCGTGACTATTCCTACAATCATCTCCATAATCGAAATCATGATATTCAGCGAGAAATCCGCCCTCTTCGTCAAGCTCATCTTCAAGGTCATTGTGAAGAGGATCACACCATCACGCTCTTCGTCGTCTTCTCCACTCACATCGTCATCGTCACCATTCCTACAATCATCTCCATCATCAAAATCATGATATTCAGCGAGAAATCCGCCCTCTTCGTCAAGGTCATCTTCAAGGTCAGCATCAACTGAATCACACCACCGCGCTCTTCGTCGTCTTCTCCACTCACATCGTCTTCGTGACTATTCCTACAATCATCTCCATCATCGAAATCATGATATTCAGCGAGCAATCCCCCTCTTCGTCAAGGTCATCTTCAAGGTCAGCATCAACTGAATCACACCACCATGCTTTTCGTCGTCTTCTCCATTCACATCGTCATCGTGACTATTTCTACAATCATCTCCATCATCAAAATCATGATATTCAGCGAGAAATCCGCCCTCTTCGTCAAGCTCATCTTCAAGGTCATTGTGAAGAGGATCACACCATCACGCTCTTCGTCGTCTTCTCCACTCACATCGTCATCGTCACCATTCCTACAATCATCACCATCATCAAAATCATGATATTCAGCGAGAAATCCGCCCTCTTCGTCAAGGTCATCTTCAAGGTCAGCATCAACTGAATCACACCACCATGCTTTTCGTCGTCTTCTCCACTCACATCGTCATCGTCACCATTCCTATAAACATCTATTTCATCGAAATCATGATATTCAGCGAGCAATCCCCCTCTTCGTCAAGGTCATCTTCAAGGTCAGCATCAACTGAATCACACCACCATGCTTTTCGTCGTCTTCTCCACTCACATCGTCATCGTGACCATTCCTATAAACATCTATTTCATCGAAATCATGATATTCAGCGAGCAATCCCCCTCTTCATCAAGCTCATCTTCAAGGTCATTGTGAAGAGGATCACACCATCACGCTCTTCGTCGTCTTCTCCACTCACATCGTCATTGTCACCATTCCTACAATCATCTCCATCATCGAAATCATGATATTCAGCGAGAAATCCGCCCTCTTCGTCAAGGTCATCTTCAAGGTCAGCATCAACTGAATCACACCACCATGCTTTTCGTCGTCTTCTCCACTCACATCGTCATCGTCACCATTCCTACAATCATCTCCATCATCAAAATCATGATATTCAGCGAGAAATCCGCCCTCTTCGTCAAGGTCATCTTCAAGGTCAGCATCAACTGAATCACACCACCATGCTTTTCGTCGTCTTCTCCACTCACATCGTCATCGTGACCATTCCTATAAACATCTATTTCATCGAAATCATGATATTCAGCGAGCAATCCCCCTCTTCGTCAAGGTCATCTTCAAGCTCAGCATCAACTGAATCACACCACCGCGCTCTTCGTCGTCTTCTCCACTCACATCGTCATCGTCACCATTCCTACAATCATCTCCATCATCAAAAACATGATATTCAACGAGAAATCCGCCCATTTCGTCAAGGTCATCTTCAAGGTCAGCATCAACTAAATCACACCATCACGCTCTTCGTCGTCTTCTCCACTCACATCGTCATCGTCACCATTCCTACAATCATCTCCATCATCAAAATCATGATATTCAACGAGAAATCCGCCCTCTTCGTCAAGGTCATCTTCAAGGTCATTGTGAAGAGTGTCACACCATCACGCTCTTCGTCGTCTTCTCCACTCACATCGTCATCGTCACCATTCCTACAATCATCTCCATCATCAAAATCATGATATTCAGCGAGAAATCCGCCCTCTTCGTCAAGGTCATCTTCAAGGTCAGCATCAACTGAATCACACCACCATGCTTTTCGTCGTCTTCTCCACTCACATCGTGACCATTCCTATAACATCTATTTCATCGAAATCATGATATTCAGCGAGCAATCCCCCTCTTCGTCAAGGTCATCTTCAAGGTCAGCATCAACTGAATCACACCACCATGCTTTTCGTCGTCTTCTCCACTCGCATCATCATCAACACCATTCATACAGTCATCTCCATCATCAAAATCACATTCTTCAGCAATAAATTCGCCCTCATCGTCAAGGTCATCTTCAAGGTCATTGTGAAGAGGATCACACCATCACGCTCTTCGTCGTCTTCTCCACTCACATCGTCATCGTCACCATTCCTACAATCATCTCCATCATCAAAATCATGATATTCAGCGAGAAATCCGCCCTCTTCGTCAAAGTCATCTTCAAGGTCAGCATCAACTGAATCACACCACCATGCTTTTCGTCGTCTTCTCCACTCACATCGTCATCGTGACCATTCCTATAAACATCTATTTAATCGAAATCATGATATTCAGCGAGCAATCCCCCTCTTCGTCAAGGTCATCTTCAAGCTCAGCATCAACTGAATCACACCACCATGCTTTTCGTCGTCTTCTCCACTCACATCGTCATCGTGACCATTCCTATAAACAACTATTTCATCGAAATCATGATATTCAACGAGCAATCCCCCTCTTCATCAAGCTCATCTTCAAGGTCATTGTGAAGAGGATCACACCATCACGCTCTTCGTCGTCTTCTCCACTCACATCGTCATCGTCACCATTCCTACAATCATCTCCATCATCAAAATCATGATATTCAACGAGAAATCCGCCCTCTTCGTCAAGGTCATCTTCAAGGTCATTGTGAAGAGGGTCACACCATCACGCGGACCTGCGACCGGCGAGTAACACCTGCGACTAAGACGCGGACCTGCGATTATTAGCTGCGACGGGCGAATAACACCTGCGACGGGCGAATAAGACCTGCGACTACGACGCGGACCTGCGATTATTAGCTGCGACGGGCGAATAACACCTGCGACCGGCGAATAAGACCTGCGACTACGACGCGGACCTGCGATTATTAGCTGCGACGGGCGAATAACACCTGCGACCGGCGAATAAGACCTGCGACTACGACGCGGACCTGCGATTATTAGCTGCGACGGGCGAATAACACCTGCGACTACGACGCGGACCTGCGATTATTAGCTGCGACGGGCGAATAACACCTGCGACCGGCGAATAAGACCTGCGACTACGACGCGGACCTGCGATTATTAGCTGCGACGGGCGAATAAGACCTGCGACTACGACGCGGACCTGCGATTATTAGCTGCGACGGGCGAATAACACCTGCGACGGGCGAATAAGACCTGCGACTACGACGCGGACCTGCGATTATTAGCTGCGACGGGCGAATAACACCTGCGACCGGCGAATAAGACCTGCGACTACGACGCGGACCTGCGATTATTAGCTGCGACGGGCGAATAACACCTGCGACCGGCGAATAAGACCTGCGACTACGACGCGGACCTGCGATTATTAGCTGCGACGGGCGAATAACACCTGCGACTACGACGCGGACCTGCGATTATTAGCTGCGACGGGCGAATAACACCTGCGGCCGGCGAATAAGACCTGCGACTACGACGCGGACCTGCGATTATTAGCTGCGACGGGCGAATAAGACCTGCGACTACGACGCGGACCTGCGATTATTAGCAGCGACGGGCGAATAACACCTGCGACCGGCGAATAAGACCTGCGACTACGACGCGGACCTGCGATTATTAGCTGCGACCGGCGAATAACACCTGCGACTACGACGCGGACCTGCGATTATTAGCTGCGACGTGCGAATAACACCTGCGACCGGCGAATAAGACCTGCGACTACGACGCGGACCTGCGATTATTAGCTGCGACGGGCGAATAACACCTGCGACTACGACGCGGACCTGCGATTATTAGCTGCGACGGGCGAATAAGACCTGCGACTACGACGCGGACCTGCGATTATTAGCTGCGACGGGTGAATAACACCCGCGACCGGCGAATAAGACCTGCGACTACGACGCGGACATGCGATTATTGGCTGCGACGGGCGAATAACACCTGCGGCCGGCGTATAAGACCTGCGACTACGACGCGGACCTGCGATTATTAGCTGCGACGGGCGAATAACACCTGCGACTACGACGCGGACCTGCGATTATTAGCTGCGACGGGCGAATAAGACCTGCGACTACGACGCGGACCTGCGATTATTAGCTGCGACGGGTGAATAACACCCGCGACCGGCGAATAAGACCTGCGACTACGACGCGGACCTGCGATTATTAGCTGCGACGGGCGAATAACACCTGCTAATAGGCCTCAACATTCGCAAAGGAAAAAGCAAGATTCTCAAATACAACATGGAGAACGCCAAACCAATAACACTTGATGGAGAAACTATGGAAGAGGTGGAAACATTCACGTACCTGGGAAGCATCATTGATGAACGAGGAGGATCGGATGCAGATGTAAAGGCGAGGATCGGCAGAGCAAGGACCTCATTTCTACAATTAAAGTACATATGGAACTCAAAACAACTGTCAACTAATTTCAAAGTAAGAATCTTCAATATGAATGTCAACATAATCCTACTGTACGAAGCTGAAACGTGGAGAACTACTAAAACCATCATCAAGAAAGTACAAGTATTTATAAACGGTTGTCTATGCAAATTACTCAACATTCACTGACCGGATACTATCAGCAACAGCTTTTTATGGGAGAGGACAAACCATCTTCCAGCTGAACAGGAAATTAGGAAAATACGTTGGAAGTAGATAGGACATACATTGAAGAAATCACCAAACTGCATCACGAGGCAAGCACTAACTTGGAATCCAGAAGGGTACCAGAAAAGAGGAAGGCCAAAGAACACATTACGCCGGAAAATAGAAGGAAATATGAAAAGGGTGAATGTTAACTGGAAAGGATTGCCCAGGACAGGGTTGGATGGAGAATGTTGGTGGGCTACCTATGCTCCTCCATGAGGGGTAACAGGCGTAAGTAAGTATGTAAGCTGTTGTAATTCAGTTTAGAAGATTAATCTCAATGTTAAAAGATTCCTGATAGTAAATGCAATATAAATACTTCGGTATATTTCTTTAATCAAAAGAATAATATGAGATTTCATAATATATTCAATTAAATTTTGTATTTGACACTAGACTATAGTCTTGAGATAGGAAGAAATAATTATCCATTAGTTTCTGCTGTGAAATATTTTTCAACTAATGCTGGTCGGTGAAAAATATTCTTAAATTAATTAAATTTAGAAAAACAATGAAACCTCAGTTTATTTATTTAGAACTCAATCTAAATTAAATAATTTTTACTACTCATTCAATTCTGATGCTAGACATGTATCTACACTAGGGAACTTCATATAAGTGAATAATATTGTTTTCAGTTAAATCTTTATCAGGCTTTAATTCAATGTGCAATAGTATTTGTTTTGCGCATATATAAAAAAACTAATCATTCAAGACAGTTTTTAAGTCAGTAACATAACTAAAAAGGATTCCCTGTTATTAGAAACGTAATAGAATGGTGTGAATAGCCCAAGTCCACATTTTATTAAACCATTTAATCTGAACTTGGTTTAGACACCTATAAATAAAATAGCTTTCACAATGGATTATAAATAGTAAACAGTACAAATTGATAGTAAGATGACTGGTGTTCTAGTGGGGATCAAATTAATAACAGTTTGAATAACCGTTTAATTATCAGAAGTTGATCAAAGCTTGGCGAAATACATGAAAAAAAATGTGATCGTTGAGAATGATTAAATCTGCAGTTTGTAAATAATCAGTACAGACACATAGAGAGTCAAGAAGAGATATAGAAAAGGATAAAACAAACAAACAAAACGTATGAACAATTAATGAAATTACCTAATCTTCATAAAGGCTTAGCGAGCGATAAGAATTTTTTTTCCATTCGGTAATAACTAACAGTGAAACATTTTTAAAATTAGGATTAGGAAAAATCTAATGTTGGACATCATTGATCAATGAGATTGTAATTTATGGACAAACCAATCACATTTAGGATAAAAAGTCTTGGTTTTTGTTGTGAAATTCATCCACTCATTTGTCTAAATAGCGTTTTGGAATTTTAGCTGATATCAATTCGTGATGAAAACCATAAATCTAATTCCTAACCCTAACCATCAACTGTTAATCATAACTCTTGTTCTTTACACAGGTTTATCACCTTCATTTAGCCCTAGTAAGTAGGTGAACATTCTCAAGGTCACTTTAGCGTCGCTCAAAGGTCGTCCATAAATTATAGTCTCCACCCATTTATTATTTGCTTCCTAAAAATAGGTGACTGTGTGATGGTTGAAGTTTTTGATTTTCCCGAGATTGTTCGGAATGTTAATTCCTAGTACCATTCGGATAGTAATTCGCTTAGAAAATATCACTAATTAGTTGTTCTGTGTAGCGAAAGATAGACCCAATGTAGTGCACTACACGATCACCATTCCAAAAAGCCAGCTAGTTCTCGTTATGATAAAATTCGGTTATTATAATGGAAGTTAAATTGTTTATTTATTACCTACCAGTCATAATAATAGAGGATACCGTAGTACTGGGAAAAAAAGGAGTAGGCGTC